ACATGCAGTTCTTTTATATCATGGCTGCTTCTTTCCAAGAAGGACAAATACCTTAATCTAGCTCTGCATAGATTCAGACTTTCAGATTTGTTCTCTTGATGTAAATCCATGGAAATTATATCTTCATTAGTCAAATTTTTGTAGATTAAGAGTGGTATACGTGGGAAACGTATGTTTGAAATAAAATGAACAGGCCTGATATTTCTAGGATACTGCATTTCTTAGAATGTACCTAATATATATTAAATAACAGTGATAGTATTTAAGGAGAGAGCATTTTGGATTCAATTATCAAGAGGTTTCAGTGCACCCCAACTAGTGAGGGAAGGAAACAATTCTTCAGAAAAATCAATTATTTTTCCACTTGTGGCATCCTGTGAAAGACTTTCAGATATCATATCTGTAGGAAAATACTGCCTGTTAGAAGTTATTAGAATTGGATCATACTTGGATGTCTAGTTATATTTCTACTGTCTGGAATGTAGACTGGTTAGCTCTATACTGGAACAGAAGTATCCATCTGTGGATGAAATGGATGGTGTAGTCCTTCATTTTTCTGCTATGAACAAATAGGTATTGACAACTGTAGCAAGATACACATTCTACAAGGATAAAATATATATCTTATCAAGAGTTGAAAAAATAAAATATTGTTCCAAAACCAATATAAACTTAAGTACTACTGTAACATCCAGAATCTTCAGCACCATTAGATGAGATGCTATAAAACATACATGATGTAACATCACCAAAATTGTTTATTGCTAATAGAACACGTACAGAAGTAAAAAAGTTTATTCTTTTAAGCTGCAAGGAAAACCCTATTGTTCTCAGGCAGCAGCTACTTTTTTTGTGTGCTCCAATTTTAAGTATTTTCTCCAGGACATAAGCTCTGTCCAGAACGCAATATAATCTCTGTTCAAAAGGACACAAAGAGAAGGAAGGGGAACATGGAAACAAAGACTGATGATAAAACCAAGTAGTAACTCAGCAGATATTAACTCATAGTGGACTATTCTTTAACTTTCATTTTTCATAGCCTGACACCTGAGGGATAGGAAAAAGCAGCTGTTTCCAACCTGCCTGGAGAGCAGCACCCTTAGTATAGCATGGTGTGGAAGAAAGCATGGGAACAATGGGGAAAAAACATTACAGGTCTGTCATCAGTCCAACACAGAAGGTCAAGTTCTGAGGTACAAGCCTGGAAGATGAAGGACACTTAAAAATGAGAGCCAGAACATTAACATACTTTCAGCAGATGGCAAAGACTAGATCAATAGAACTAACTGCAATTAAGAGACAAGTGTGTGCATGGGTATTTTTTTTTAAAGTACTTAAGAGCTGTACTTTATGAAGTACAGTAAATGCCTTTAATGGATTTCAGAAATGAGGTTTTTAATTTAAAAATTCCCTAGATCACATATTTAAAAACTAAACCCTCAAGACAAAACTCACAGATGCAGCATTACTTCTAAATACAGTTAAGTTGTTTATTGTTTTATTTTTCAGTCATCCAAATCTGTCTTCAATACCATAATTGTTTTCCACAATTGATTCCCTTTGTAAAACAGAACTTTGGTGTTTTGTCTCAGTACTAGGAAATTGCCTTATGATGACACTCTCTCATCACAACAGAGGATCTCAGACACCTCAGTTCACTTTCATGTCAGGACTATACTAAAATTTATGTTTTTGAGAAAGTTTGAGTGTTCTTAATTGTTAGGTTTCAATTGGTTTAAGACAGTGAGCATCACAGCAAGTCTCTGAAGCCTTCAGGTTGTCTAGTGTGGGTTACTGAAGAAAGAAATTAGCAGAATAAGGCAAACTGACACTGACATATTAAAAAAAACAAAAAGTTTCTTGGATCTCAGAGTTTTCCTTGCCAGACTAAGTTCCTGCTGCCCATAAGCTGGTTAAGCTTGTTTTCTCCCCTCTGAAACAAAACAACCACCATAAGCTTTATCATTTCTGACTATACCAAACACAGAAGATGCATTTCTTCAATGCATAATTGAGTTAAACATAAGTAATCCAGTAAGGAAAAACAATTTTCTTTTTGAGCTGGTAGGGGAAAATTTGGCTTGGCAGCAGATTAAAGAATACATAATCAGACCATACCAATAACATGGAGAAATAAGCAAAATCTAGCAGGACTGAACATGAGCCAGCAGCGTGCCCTGGCAGAAATGAAGTCCAACAGTATCCTTGGCGGTATTAACTGGAGCATGGCCAGTGTTACCAAGGGAAGGTATTATCTCCCTCTACTCAGCACTTATTAGATCATACGTAGAATACAGCATCCAGCGTTGGGGCTCCCAAAAGAAGGGACACATCAATAAACTGGAGGGAATTCAGCAGAGAAGCACCAAGATAGTCAGGGTATGGAACACCTTCCCCATCAGGAGAGGCTGAGGGATGAGGGCTTGCTCAGCCTGAAGATCAGACTGCTTCACGACCTGACAGCAGCCCCCTAGTATCTGCGAGGAGGTGATCAAGACAGAGCCAGGCCCGTCAGAGTGGTGCATGATGAGAGCACGATAGACAACAGACATAAGTTGAAAAAAAGAGAGTTTCAGTCTGGATAGAAGGAAAACCTTTTTCACCCTGAGGACAGTCAAGCATTGGAACAGTTTGCCCAGAGAGGCTGTACAGTCTGCATCCTTGGAGGTTTTCAAGACCACAGGGTAAAGCCCCAAGCAACCTCACAGCTGGCATGGCTTTGAGCAGGAGGCTGGAGACCAGAGACTGCTTCAGCAGGGGGCCTGGACAAGACAACACCCAGAAGTCCCTCCCAACCTCAATCATTCTGTGATTCTGCAACTTCCTGAGGTCTCTTCCAACCTGAGTTTCCCTATGAATTCACCAAATAAAAATGTAAAAGATTAAGCTAATTCTAAGAAAAAAGTACTCCATTACTTTTTGTAAGATTATTCAGATTTCTAATGACTATTTGAACTTAAATTAGAAGTAAAAATAAGTCTGGTCGTTTTAAATTAAGTCGTCACTCAAAACCCATAGAACATTTGTTAGAAGTAGGAAGCTTCTAGTACAGGGTTGGAAAACAATTTGTTGGTGACTAACAAAGCCCACAGTATAGAAAAAAAGGGAATAATCCCTACTTTCTTATTTTAACAATGTCAGTGTGACACGCTCCCATATGCCAGATGCTTAAAATTGGACTGAATTTTGGATAGAGTCTTCAAAAAATAAAAGCAGATTTACACAAACAAGTAATACCAAAATAGAAAAACAAATCAAACTATTCTATAAACAATTTAAAAAGGCAGAAAATTAAAGGGAGCGAGAGACAACAGCATTGGTTTCCTGTTTTAATGAAGAATTATACAAGAATAAGAAACTGTCAATACAGTCACTTGTATTTTCCAAAAAATATTTTGAAAAAAACCCCCAGCACTCTCAACCATGTTCTAGTTTGACTTGTAAATAAATCTCTCAAAAGCTAAGGATACATCCCCAAAAGCTAGAGAAAAGTGCATTTTTTCAGTTAACTGATAAAATTCTGCCTCCAGTGAAATAACTAACTACATCCCCGTGAAAACCCAGCCAAGGAAGTTGGAAGATCTGAGTTGTTCTTCCTATTTCTATCAGCAAATCCCCATCAGGTCTCTGGCAATCCAATACGCTATCTTGTGGCGTAAATTTCTCATACACGAAAACTTTTCACACAAAACTTTACGTTTTCTTTATCAAGTTTTGAGAGTTGAACCACTGGATCTTAAAAGTCATTTGCCTTTGGAAAAATCCATGAAAATCTAAAGGATGTTTAATGCTCTTTAAGAAAAGATTAAGTCTAACTAGTGCTTTCACAATTGAAATCTGAAAAATAAAGTTTATTCAACTGCAAGATGTGTCTTAATGTTTAATCTGAACCTGATTAATTAAGGAAAATAATCATCATCTGTTGATAGAAAAAGCTACCTCCTGTGTTAAGAAACCTTTATTTAAACACTTTTCATATTCTAGGAGTTTATTTAACAGAAGGAAAAACAGACCAGCATGCTTAATTTAATTCTGTGGTTTAATGACTAACTCACAAGAATGTGTATTGCACTCATTTTCCAGTGATGTTAATATAGATCCCTTAGAAACATAAGAAGAGTTGTAACAGTACAGCTCATCCCTGAACAATGCTTAGTGAGGGACTACAGTTACTGCCATTAACAGAAGTCTTTGAGATTTAGGCCTAAAACCAAGTTTATTTACAGAAGGGGAAATCCTTCTATGTACATTCAAGAGACACTGAGCCTTGTCAGTGATTCTCTTCAATTTTCTGCCACAGAAATAAGCAGAATTTGAGTTTCTTACTTTTATGTTGATGTACTATGAAACGGTCAAAAAGGGGCCCTAATATTTTCCTAGACTAATACAACCAATATAGTGTATACCATAATTGATAACTCTGAGTTACCCTGTTGTATAAAAGCTCAAGTTCCTGAAAGAAAATTTATGAGCTGTTTTTATTTCTGAAGGGAAAACAATGATTAGCCTAATAGTTTGGAAATGTTTAAGTTATCACAAGCCTTCCCCTCCCCCAATATGTAATACATCAATGATTAATGCTTCGTGATATAAAAACTAAACATAGCTAAACACTGATATCAATAAATGTAAGATAGAGAACTAGGTTAAAGGCAAAACGATTGCACTTGATGCACACTTAGTCTTTTCTCACATCCTTTTATCCCATCTTAATCTAAAAGATGACACCTAGACTCAGTCTAACTTGTACAAAGCCCAGGGGGTATTGTGGTATCAAAAGCTAGACAGTGTGCCTTGCCTAACTGCAAAAGGCTGACAGACAAGTTTGGAAAGGATCTTCTTCAGCTATGCAGCTATCAGTGCTACTCCTGAAAAGAAAAGAGGGCAGAAACATCTGAGAGGAATCACCTCCTTTTTACTTTCCCTGTGACTATTTAGCTTTTAGAAAGGAGAAGGGAATAGTGAGAAAAGAGATATCTCAGAGAGAAGGTAGAACCTACCTACTGTGATACTCCCTGTTTTGGTCTGAAGGCTGGTGTTACCTATTAGAAAATGAAAAGGGGAAAAATGTTAAAAGCATATTATTTAACTGGTTTCTGAAATCATAACAAAGACTAAAGTAATGTGATCCTATACAAGAGCATTATATTTGTATATCTGATTTGCATATAAAAGCAAAATAGCATAAACCAGTTATATTGCTTGAATATTATTGCTTTACGAACAAAAATCTCAACACGTGGGTAACAATGAAGTGATTCCAGACAAGAAAAACACTCTGAGCAAAGCTTAAAGGCACAGACTGGAGGTGAGGGAGAGAAAAGCAGAGAGGCATTGTGAGGCTAACGCACAATATTTTCTTATTTTATTTTGGGCCAAATTTTTAATTTTTTTAAATTGCTCTGATGCCTGCAACAGCACTATAGATGATTTAAGTAGTTCAAGAGGATGAGTAAGAAAAACTGTTTTATTTTCCTTTTTTCTATACATACATATGCACATGCCCCTTCCCTCTGCTGGGTTTTTTTGCTTTATGCTCAAAGGCTACTTCCTGGGCAATTGCCTGAAGAATCACTGATTGTCACCTAGTCCCTCCAAGCTTATTCTTATGTGCATGATGAACCACTGTCAAAATTTTTCATTGGATTCAGCAACATCTGAGGGTGTTGGGCACACTGGAGAACAGACAATGTATAAGGCATAAAACATAGAATAGTCTTCTACCGACCTCGCATTACTTTGAACAGGCACTGGTGGTTTATCCTTAAATGTCAAAATACATACTCTTCCCCTTTACCTATGGCATCAAGAGAATCTGGAAGGAGGACAGATGTACCTCATAACAGTAAAGCCATCTATGCTGCTAACAAGTCTAACAAAGTCGGTAGAAACTTCCATAATTCCATGTACATTACACATGTATAACTGCCTCCCAAAAAATGCTTTACATTAAAAAACTAAACCACAACATGTCATTCCTGCCAATCCCTCATCCTCCCGGGAGGATAACTGAAAAATAAGGTTGATCACAGTCATTTAGTAATACACAGTATTAACAACAGTTTTCAGATCTTTTGGGAGAAGCCTTTAAAACTTGCAAATGGATCAAGCTCTGCTCCTGTCTTCTGTAGTTACACAGTAGTGAATATCCATTAGGGTAGAATGGATTCCATTGTACATGACCTGTACAATGTGTTTTTCTTAGCAGTCCATGGGCTGAAAGCTAGAAAAAAAGCCTATTATCAATAGTCTTAAATTCATCATTTCAAGCACATACTGTACAAAATACTTAGGGGTTCTGAAAATCAGAGTTGAAACAAAACCGTATTTCAATGAACTTGAAAGACGTTTGGCTTTACTGTTTGCTGTTTTTAAAAGGCACACCCTTTTCCCCATTTTATTATGACTAGTACTTATTTTTGTACAACCTACAAAAAAGCCTAGGGTTTTGTTAGCTAGCAACTCCCATGGAGCTGAAGATAGATTATACTCTGTCTGAATACAGCCCGTGGGACTTGCGGTCTATTCTCTTTGTTTTCCTGGGTTTTTTGTTTTTGGTTTTGATAAGCAGGGTCTTGAAAAAATATTAAACATTTAGAAATCAAACTCCTATTGACCACAAACTTATATGGCAGATATGGCTAATGTTGTGCAATGTAAACATATTAGTGTGATAGGCTCACTTCAAACATTTAGCTAGAACAAAAGTTGCTTTTAAAGCAGACAGCAATGTCCTGCTGTGTTGTGACCTGCAGTGTCTACAGACAGCGCAAAGAAGTGTACTTCTGGTCATGTAATTGTTCCATGAAGGCTAACACTTAACTTACAATTTTTAGGCTAGCCAAGTATTTTTTGGACATGTCAAGGGCAAAGAGAGAAAGACCTGACTAGAGGTAATTACTAGGTCAACTAGAAATAGCACCTCACATCTGTAACACCAGTTACAGAAACTGATTACAAGTACTCAAAACCACCTTCTTCAAAATAATGCATTATTCATTTGCCGTAAAACTACGAAGCATGCAAAAGAGCAATTAAGAATGCCTACGTGCATATTCTCTTACCTTTACCTTTTTTTCCTTTGTAAGACTGAATAAATTCAATAGGGAGCATTTGCCCCCTTCCCTTTAGTTGTGGGTTGGACTACAGAAAGAAATGTGTACTCACTGGTATTTCCATAGAGATCTTAATCCCCCATTCTAAGGGCATCTTAAGTATTGTAGTGACTTCAGATACATACACTGGGAACAGCCCATTTCTGAACATTGCAATCCAGCTGTCTTATCAGATATATGAATTACTTAGATTTTACATTAAAAGGTGCCTGCAAAATGCAAGCTATTTTGTTGTTTTAATACAGCATTACTCAAATTCCCTGTAGTGTGAGTAAAATTTACACCTTTTCAGAGATAGTAATTTTTAATATGAAAATGCTTATAGAAAGATACCTTTAAGTAAAATCTTAAATTCTATTAAGTTTTTAAATTACTAGTAATGTACAAACACAACAATTATGCACTGAAAGGAGGGAAATCTAGCCGACATTAAAAAGTGAGCTAAACTCAAGTTAAATTAAAAGTCAAATGTTCAAACTACCATTTGTATTCATCCTGCTACCAGTGATACAGGCATTCTATAAAAAACCATGACAGTAATTTTTGTTCTATAACAAAAATACCAGCTTCAACAACATTAAATACATGGTGCATGCAATATACACTCATTTTCTTTACAAATAAAAGGATCTGACAGTCTTTTGTCTGTAGTTTGCCTGTGTCGTGCTGGTGGATGGTTTTTTTTGTCTGTTTGTTTTTTGTGACAGCAAAGAAAATTTACCTTCTGATTATATGCTCATGCCTCCATAATCTGAGGCATTGGTCAGCAAGAATATTAGAGACAGTATCACTGTTATGGGATTGCTTAAGGACTGCAATACAGAATCACTATAGTATTTCTATACAAAGTCAGTTTTAGTCTTTCAGTTCCTAATTTTAATTCCATTCAGGCCCTTCCTGAGCCAAGTTTGCACTCAGGCTTAGGCACTGCCAGTGTTGGAATTGTATGGCCCGAGTTTCAACTACAAAATGGGTCTTAGGCAGGTTTGTAAAGTTTGTGTTGCCCTGACTTCAAAGTTCTCAGTGCAAAAGCAATGAAGTCTAGCTCAGTTTTGTGCACAGATGTGCTGATTTTATGCCAACTATAATATCAGCATACTGTCAGCTATAGGGAAATAGCGGGCTTAATTGCCCAAGAAACAATCTCTCCGAGTGTTTACAAACAAAACTACCACTAAAATTGAGCTACTTCATGAGCAAAGACTAGAAGTGAAAGTGACTAATTTTTTTCTAACATAAAATTATAATCTGAGTTTACCTTTTCCACAATATATATACACATGTGTGTATATATATATATATATATATATATGAAATATAATAAAAGACTTGAAAAGTATTTGCTCTTACTATTAAGACGTGATTGAGGAGCATATTTTGCAGAAAATATTTTTCTGAAAAAATAAACTAGAAGGATCAAGCAAATGTTACTGTGCAATTGTTTTTACAAGAAACAGCTAAAATAATGTTAGAGGTGTTCCAGACCCATTTAGTAGAAAGCTCATGAAAATAACCCTGAAGTAACGTAAGAAATGTCTGTATAATTTGGATACAATTCTATTTGTTTTCACAATGTTTCTTCAGCTAAATGACAACGAGGCATTACCAAGGAAGTAAGTCATTAACCTCAGCAGTTATCATTTCATCTTTGCTCCAAGAAAACAAAAATAAACTTTTGGATGTGCACACAGGCATGAACATGCTCACAAACTGATCACTCCATAGTATCATATTGGTTTGAAGTTAGGGGAAAAAAAAAACAACCAAAACAAAACAGCTTATCAACAGAAGTACCAGTAACAATACAGTCTACATGTTAGAAGAATACAATAACAAGAAGAAAAAAAAAAAAAATCTTATTTCTGCCTATGCATGCTGAAGTGAACTTTACCTAACAGGTTTAGAAACCAGTCTTAAATTTACTATAATAGACAAAAGACTTGCTTCTTTAAGGAAAAAACAAGAGTCATTTCTCAAGCAAGATGACAGCACAGAATTGCTAAGAAATAGCAGCAAATTGTTTATAAAGGCATACAGCTGGAAATCTGGAACTATGACTGACCTGAGTAATTTTCATCCTCCAGTTTGTTTTAATGTTAAATCACCACAAATGCATTACAGCACAGTGAGAATTCAGTGGGAATTTTGTTAAATTAGAAAACCACACCAGATTCCCACCCTGACTGCTGTTGATATAAAAGACACTCAGGTTAATTAGTTTTAGTTCTAGGCGAAGGACAGTAAAGGGTGGATGGATTAGAGACCTTTTTTGCCAATCACAGAACAGAAACTGTCACCACTCTATTAGTATAGGGTGCCAGCACACACACAGACCATTTCTACTAAAAACTTTGAAATACGGCCGAGTTCTACCACAGTTCTTAGTAGACGCTGTAAGAGTTAACTTCTCCTATGAAGAAAATAAAGGATGGAGAGAGGGGAAGAGAAGCCTCTTACTACTTTTCGTATAAGTTTAATTGCTGAATTTTAAAATATTTTTAAATCCTTAGTATGTGTCATACATTTCTTTCTTATAACATACACTTTTTGCTATTTCACAAGTACACTTATAAAATTGTTTTTAAAAATAAATACAGTATGCTATATGGTAAGTTAATTCTCGTCAATCCAGTCTCTAACAAATACAGAACTGTTTTGTTCATAAACTGCGCACAGTTCATTCAGTGACAGTCTATAGCATTAGTCCATATGTTACTGTGAACATTATGAATACCTTCAAAGCAGCAAAATTTGTGACAGCTTCCCTAACCATGTGACAGTATTTCCTTCTTACCATGAATACTTCCCAGCAGAATATCACCAGCTACTGAAGACAGAGATGATGATTCTGCATAGAGATACTTAGTTTTCAGCAGCCCATCCTCAGTAGATATGTTGATGGATGTCCCCTGCAGCTTCTCAATATTCACACTCTAAGAGAAATAAACTTAAATAAACATAATGGAAAACTTGTCATCACAGTTTGAAAAGGCAGAGGGAAGTAACACTTTTAAGAGGCAAAACAAATGAAAAGCAGTTGTTGGTGCAGAACAAACAGAATCAAGTTCTTAGTTAAAAGCTACACAAGACAACAAAAACCCTTTTCATCCAAGAGCTCTGACCAACAAGTTAATAATTCTTTACAACATTCCTATGAATTACTACATCCATCATACAGGTGAAGAACCCAAATAGTCACAAACGGATGAAAGAAAAACTTGATTTATTTTTAAAAACCAAAATGCTTCATTTTGAAAAGTAAAAAAAAAAGGCTTAGCTTTAATAATGTAGACTTAATGTTCATACAGCATTATGACAGTTAAAGCATTGGTAATCAGTTTTCTGCCACCACATACTGAAACATCCACTGTCTTTGTTACATACAGCTATTTATGCAGATTTTTAACTGGCTCACTTTGTAGACATAGCTTTGATGAAAGTTTGCAAAAAACCACAGCTGCTCTTTTTCTCAGTATAATTGTTCATATTACCTTGGTTATTCAGGCCTCAATTCTTGAACTTAAGCCTCAAGCTATACAAAGCCTTGGAAAAATGACGGATAAGATCTCCATTTCTACTTCTTTTCAATAGAAATGGAGAAAAAGGATAAGATTTGAAAAGTTGCACTATGGATAGATTTGGGGAATAAAAGGTGATAGATGAGATTACCTACGTACAAGTAACCAGTCCTGTGACATAACCTACACCTATCTGAACAAAGCAAAACAAATCACGTGCTTGTGCAACTACCATATGAATTTAATTCTGTTCTTCCTCAGTTAAACTTAATTTATGATGGAATCATGCAACAGTTCATATTTAACCCCCACTCAATTTGTTTTTATTTTGCTTATGCAGACTTTAAGTGAATTGCACAAAATCCTTATTCATTACATGAAATTATATATGGACTTCTAGAACAAACTGTGCCTTATGTCAATTTATCTTTAAATCCACTTTGTCATTTTAGCATTATCATCTTGTGGAAAAAAGTTAATAAAAAATAAATAAATCTGCTGACCCTTCCAGTGTTATATTATATAAAGAATAAGCTATGGATGAAGTAAGAGATATTCTGACAAACAGCAACTAGTGCTGCACAAACTCCATGCTATATTGTGCCCCAAGAAGTGAGCTAAAGAGGCTGGTTCAGTATGGACTATATGCCAGCCAAATTATACTGTGACTTTAGCAATCCACACATACCGAGCTTTATGCTGTTGTTACACCTTAAGTCATAAGGTTACATATGGACTCTTGTCTTAAGACTTTTGACATGATGCTACAATACATAGTAGGTCTCCAAGAACGTAACAAGATACATTAACCTTTAAGAAAATCTAGTGATCAAGGTGCCGTGCTAGAATTAGATACACGCGACAGTCAATATCTGCAATCTCTGTAGGTGATGCTGCTTAGAACTATGCTACAGAATCTAAGCATCAACAGTAAACAAACCCCATGATATTAAGGCATAATTTGTCACTACTGAAAGTGACAGCAATCCAGCTTTTCAATCTCTCAATGCTTCTAACAAAACTCTAACAAGCAGAGACCTTAACAAACATAAGTTTACACTGCATCTGTCCTAGGAATGTTTCCCACAGAGTACTCCACTACTGCCTCACCCGGGATGGCAAAGTGTAAACCTGCTGTGGCACATGGCCAAAGCAACAAGTAAAAGAAAAGCCACTGTCAGTTTAGGCTCTGTGATCTAAACCTGTTCTGAAGAAAGTTAAATGACTTGCAAAGAACCTTTCCAATTTTAGCAGGGCCATCACTGCTATCAGCACAATGAAAACAGAGCAAGGCACACTTAAAAAAGTGTATGTGTGGGGGGGAATAAAATAAAAATATCTGCAGAGCTTGGGTGCAAACTGGCTGCCTTGTGGCATCCTGAATAGGAAAAGGAAAGCCCAAAAAGCTACATCTGTTACCATGGGATGCAAGTTTTGGCTCTATTTAAACACTCCTTTAAATATTATGAAGTGCTTTATTATAAACAAGCTCACATACCAACTCATCTTATTTACCAACTTCAAGTACCTTTCTTATAAATGCACAGCAATAAAAAGAGTTGTCTCAGCACATGGTGACATGGGGTTGAGTGTTTATGGGTAAGAATCAGGGGGAAGGCCAACAAGGCAGATATCATGGTGGGAGTCTGTTATAGACCACCCAACCAGGATGAAGAGGCAGATGAAATATTCTATAAGCAGCTGGGAGAAGTCTTGCAATCGCTAGCCCTTGTTCTCATGGGGGACTTCAACTTACCAGACATCTGCTGGAAATACAATACAGCAGAGGAAACAGTCTGGGAGGTTGCTGGAGTGCATGGAAGACACTTCCCGACACAGCTGGTGAGGGAGCCGCCAGGGAGGGCACCCGCTGGACCTCTTGCTTGTGAACAGAGAAGGCCTGGTGGGCGATGTGGTGGCTGGAGGCCATCTTGGGCACAGCGATCATGAAATGATAGACTTTTCGATTGTTGGAGAAGTAAGGAGGGGGGTCAGCAGAACTGCTACCTTGGACTT